ACCTTTGCAGCAACCTAATACCTATGTGTACACAAATATCTTTAAGAGCTTTACGTACATTTACAGTTTAGCTTGAAGCATATAGTTAGATGCGGCCTAAAATAAATCGTCAAATAAACCCTATATATCCATGCTGACTTGAGAATTATTCCCTACAATCGAGCAAGTTCTAAAGACGTTACGCTCTGCTTCGTGTCCTGCACACTCGTACTCAGCTGTGTACATCTGTATACCTGCGATGCCTTTAGCCACCTCAATCAGAAGGCAGTAGTATTCATTTCAACTCAGCTGGCAGCTCTATTATTTAGCACGAAGAGAAGCCTTTGTTGGCATGCAGCTTCGTATGTATTCTCTCTCATTGGTATATTGAAGGTAAATGCAAAATGTGTCGGTCAAAAAAAATCACTAACGAGCGCTAAAGTGACGTTGCGAGATACTAAAAAGACAAACATTTCTGCAACAATACGGCTACGTTAGTGTGTCTACATGGGTCTGTTTTTCACTCCAGGAACTGAAAAAGGAGCGGTGTTCCTGTACAGGCCCTTCGGAAAAGTCACTGCTTTCGATGCTAGTACATACCAAAATGGCTGTTCGCCTTTATAAAGACCTTCTTAGTAACGACCAAATTTTCCGAATTCAATTTCTTTTAAAACGAATCTCGGCTGGTTTACGCCAGCGACACTTTGCCCTGTCAGACATTCAACAACTCACGTTTACGTAAACATTTTTCTGTAAATATAAGTTAGCGTCGCAGTGATGCGATGAGTACCGCCTATATGTGCACGTATTTAAAAGTAGACATAGCTAAGTTAATGTTATTATTATATTAAAGTTGGCGCACTTTGGCTAGGCACCGAATGCAGCTGGCACTAGATTAAATTGCCCCCTCGTTTTATTTGCAGATCCATACGTACATGCACGTTTTATCATTATATCTAGCGTTAGGCGTACGATGACTTTGCTCAGCCGTGGGCTAAAGATTAGTCAAGAATTGGCTTCTATTCCATATGAATACATACGTATGCCTAATAAACCTCTATAGACTAAGAATGTTAGGAGGTAACTGGAAAGCTGAAGAGGCAGACTTTGATGCTCTGAGGTACCATCATCTGGAACGCTAACATACTCATTACTGGTGCATTACGATCAGACTTAGGGCTTCTAACCCATTTGGAACAGAATTACTGAACAGCAGCTGTAGGCTACGAATAAGGCGCATACACAAACAGAGCTAGCTATAAGTTCCTCCGTGAAAAAAGATCCACATGCCGCATCGTGAGAAAATACACCTTTTACTATATTTACCCATACAAGTTTGCGTAACTTGAAACGAAAACTTAATCGTCTACTGATTGAGTCAGATGTTTATTGTTTAAAGTTACGCTCAAAATGATCGCAAGTTTAATTTTTGTTTGCATTTATCTCATTGTTGTCCCATTTAGAACATTTTTAAGTTGACATCTAAAGGTGCTGTTTAACAAACTTTATCGAATGATATTTCTCATGTAAGTTCTGACTACGTTGAGACTATTATGTTAATCTAAATTTTCAGAATTGTTACTTATTCTGCGCTTGAAATACATACAGATCTGACTGCCGATACTATTGCTATATGATTTGAGAGTTATACTGAGAGAAGTTATAGCTTTGAATAATTATAGATAGTTTATTATACTAACCATTTTGAGAGTTCGCCTCGAGTTTTACGCCTTAGCTTTTCAACCGGTTTTGCTCTTACGGTATAGCGTTGTTGGCATACGGAACATCCTTTAAAAGATCAGAAGTTACCATGATGATAGATATTATGCTACAAATGTCGTTCCTATTTAATATAGGAATCTAGATCCATCGGCTCTTTGATAGCTGTTGACGTCAGCGCAAAGGAGGCTAGAAGCGAGTACGCAGAAGTGGATCCCGCGTTCTTCTTTCGATGGCAATAGAACCCGGGCAGGTTCGGAACAAAAAATAAATCTCAATTCCCTTACCTTCATATTCTTGTAAACGTTAATAGTGCACGGTAAATCAACACATGGGCCTGACTGATTCACAACACAAAGCGAAACAGGCAGAACTGCCTTTTGTTCTATTTTTTTCCTATATAGCACATAAAGGGTGCCTATGCGTCATTATGCTACAGTGTCCCCCACACAATAAATTGTCTGCACGATCTTGGTTAATGAATTTTATCGTTAGAATATATTTTTCGTACGCATGCATGCACCGAGAAAAATTTCTAATACAAACGCCTAAAAAATGTGTACATAAAAAGCCATCGTTGTCAATGTTTTCTACATCTGATACATCATCGTGCAGGTACGCTCTTTTGGTGTTTTGTACGATTCTATCCTTCGGCTCACCATGCTGAGGCATCGAAAATTTCAAGACAATGGCACCACTTACTCCCCATTTCGACCATCGTCACACTTTAGTTAATAAAACCGTTGTTTCTTCCTCACCCCCCAGACCCACTCACCACTTTGATATCGTGTACTGAGGATAAACAAAAAAATGTCAAACCTCTGGCTGCTTCAAAGAAGTCGAGGAGCGAAACGTGACTAACATTAGTGCTACGACTGAATAGATTAGTAGGTCACCAAAGTTGGCAGCGCGTCACAGGGAACATGGAATGATGTTATTGAAGGCTACCGTCCTTTTGGGCTGCGTCTAAATGCAACAACAGTACTGGTCGATACGTACGCAGTGTAAAAGGAACTGATAGCAAACTTTCCAGGTAACAAGCGGTAATAAAACAAACAGAGGCCGACTCACGAAAACCGTCCTACCAGACAATTCGCAAGTCCAATCTATGGATGTTTTTTGGCGACGAAGTTGGTGCCACGCCGTTACACACGATAATATATCGATAAGTGTGTATCTCAATCACGAGGCTTTTCTAAGCCAGCGCTTACGTTTTAGGTTGTCATGTTCAATTAAATTGACGGTTTTTCCAGTTGACACTCGTGTATGTAGCACGTTCGTACCTAATTACAGATCCACAAAAGATTTGCTCATCTTATTCTGACGGAGGCAGATTGAAATCTGGCTCAGGTCACCAAGAACCTGATTTCAGCTTAGCTCGTTTCGTCAGAAATTATTGTACATCATGGACGAATGTCAGAGATTGTTCATGTTTCGCATGGAGGTACTACTTGATGCGTGCGTTTATATCTGTAACAATGCTGCACGTGATCATTCTGGCTATCCTATTCGTCGATGCGGCCACCACGCTCCTGTTTGTCCTATCATTAGGAACTATGGGCAATGCTGCATTTGACTATTCCCTACCTGGTGTCAGGTCTATAAGCTGCATCGACTACTTCATAGCTACTGCGATCGCTCTTATCTTCGCCCCGCTCGTTGAGTACGCCATCGTGAATTGACTTGAAGGAAAACAGGGGCGAGAAAATATCTCCAGCAAGTTACTTTTACCTAGTTGCATATGTTACGTTTGTCACCCTTCACTGACTCTGAGAAGACTGGTAAAATTTCCAAAGCTTCTTAACAACAGGGCGAAAAACAGATCCGCTCGCAACGAGCAAAGGTCTCATGGTCACAAATTGAGTTTGTCCGGACACTTGAATATTTCTCCTTATTGCTGCAATACGAGAAAGTTCACCTTACTTACACTTAAAGTGTAAAAGTGTCTAACAAATAAAGTTTTTTGAAAAAGAGAGGCACGTGAACTTAGTGAGGGCACTTTACCTTCAATATTTCGTTATTGATAACTGCGAGTTACATCTTATTAAATAATAAACATGTAAAATAAATAACTATGATGATAAAAAAAAAAAGCAATAATTTATTTGTGTATTGAGAAAAATAGCATCAGAGCGTTCTACAAGCCGACAAAGATTTTCGCTAATATATACGAGCGTAGTATTATTAAGCTATCAATACACAGTATAGTTATAAAGCGTTTCAGCTTCCGCCTATGGCGCAGGGCAAATATGTCCTTGTCACTAAAAAACTGTCCCTGTCAAAAGGAAGCAATTTAGCCACAAATGAGATTTTAAACACGATTTTCATAGACATTCCCTGAGTTAACTGAACTTCTCAGCTGCTCCTTAAGGGACATCTTTTTCTCAGTACTTCCCAGCCAGAGTCATATTCAATCCTAGGTAAGACTTCAATAAGAGCGTACAACACTATATAAACAAGTAATCAGCAATGAATAGCTGATACGCAGCCAAGGCTATAGGAGCTACTGTTCACATTTCTTTGATCCGTACTGAAATATGGGGTATGCTGTAGAAAAACCTGGCAAAGTTGTATGGCGTTACTGACTTCTTGTGCTGGTACAAAAGACGTGTTTATCTGCCGGGGATTCCAAGTGCCAGCTGACGCTATAACATTAGTCTGAGCATATACATGAAATGCACATAGAACAATCTTGTAAATTTTATATGGCTGCACTCTCTAAACATCTGTATATGTTGCTCAGTCGTAGCCCTGGGATTAAACGCTTATTTTTTCGCCCGATTAGCTTTCCCGGCGCTTATACCCGTACTAAGGTACGAAGACAGAAGAAAACCATATATATATATATATATATATGTCAATAATATATGAAAAATTGTATATTTTCTGCTTTGTATAAAATCATGCTTACGTGTACCTCATTTTCAAGCTGAGCTTCCCTACTATCGCCACCAATATTATACAAAGAAATTAGTTTTTCAATCTGCATCGTAACGACCTGTTCGCTATCGTCTACTAATGTACGCTGTACCGTTGGGCCTTTCGTCGACCCAGTCCAGCTGATAAAAGCGGTTACCATGGCTTCAGTCGAATCGAATCGATGGTGGCCCACAAACAAATGGATAATTGACAACTACTTGCCCGTGGCTATTTTTTACTGCTGTATTTTATTGAGGGAACAGTGCGTGGTCGTTCTTCTCGCTTCTTTTTACACGCACTCTCCACTTCCATTTACTGTCGACAATAAATGAATTCTTCAATATGCCTTTTGAGGCGACAAAGTCGTCCCATGTGTTTTTTTTTTATCACTAGACGCAGTAGTACTTGACAGTGTCTCTCCAATCTTGATAGTTTTCACTATTGTGTGCCCTAAACAAGCGAGCCTTAAATCGGCCGCAAGATGCGGCGAACGCCAACGCTATTGCCCAAATGCGCGTCTTTGTTTATTGCGGCAGCAGCTTTCGCAGAGGAAAACTGGGACAATGTGCTCGAGCGTTACAATCCACTAGAAAAACCTCCAAATCCTACGGAGGTACATATCAATATGTTCATACGGAGTATGCGAAACTTCGACAGCAACGATCAAAGCTTTCAGGCGCAAATTATCCTTTGGCACCAATGGAATGAACCGAGACTGATTTATGGTAACGACACCGTGCCCTACCAGATGATTGACCGCGCTCGCATATGGAAGCCCGATACGTTTTTTACTAACGAACTCGACGGCTGGCGTCATAGCATCGTGAAGGACAACGCCCTAGTCCGTGTGTATCCTAACGGGGATATTCTTATGAGTGAGCGTTTAAGTCTGACCTTGATGTGTCCAATAAACCTAGCAGCGCTTCCTTTTGACTCACAAGTTTGTAGCATTCGGATCGCAAGCTATGGATATACTACAGACTCGTTGATCTACACATGGAAGGAGGGCGATCCTATTCAAGTCAGCCCGAGTCTTTATCTGCCGGGGTTTCGTCTGACTCAGTTTGACACGGACTACTGCACCTCACAAACCAGTATAGGTGAATATCCGTGTTTACGGGCAGAGTTCACATTTAAGCGCATTTGGAATTACCACCTGTTACAGGTGTACATACCTATGACGATGTTGTGCGTGATTGCCTGGTTTACTTTCTGGGTTAACGACACGTTGATGCGGATAACGATGCTGATGTTTACGTTAGCATTAGCTGTTCTTGAGACCGGCGTGATTAACTATTATTCGTTTCCTTGCGCTGGATCCACGAAAACAATCGACTACTTCACTGGTGTCGGGATTACGTTCATTTTCGGCGCCCTAGCAGAATACGTTATTGTGAAATGGCTGGAAGGAAAGGAGGAGAAAGAAACAACCGCAAACAGAATGGATGCCTTATGCCGCATCCTTTACCCTATTGCATATATTGGATTCGTTGCTCTTTATTTTTTGACTGTCCTACCTAAAAGGTATTAAAGAAGTCGAAGCAGCTTCTTCTTTTTCAGCGACTGCTGCGATATAATGAAAAAAAAAACAACTATAGTAACTTAATAAAATAGCTATATACGCAAAAGTACGTGTCATAATTTCTTCATGTCAAGCGTATCGTTGTTACCACGTTTCGGTCAAAGTCTATGTACCAGCCTACGACTTGCCCGAATCCAGCTACCGTTACAGCTTTTTAAAAATGATTGAAATTGGTCTCTAATGAATTGTAGCCAACAAGACACGAGCAGTTTTATTGGCTTCGTTAATTTTTCGCCCCCCGCAGAGACATTACCCTATATAAAGACAAACGCATATACAGGATGTACATTAGCAACCAACGGGCTGTTATATTGAAAGTCTCAAATGAATAAGTATGTATATATATACACGTTTATAAGAAAACGATCATGAAAATGCTCCTTCTGCTTTTTATTCTGCTGCTTATTATGCAATAGCATTCAGATCGATAGCTATACTTTTCGCTGTTCACTGATGGCATAAGGTACGAAGCCTAAATTTATTAGGCTTGATTTATTTATTAGACATGTTGGCCTTCAGGAATATTATGTAAAGCAGTGAGTCCTATATCCGAATAACTGATATTTTGTGGGTCTTTCCGGTTACTTAGTCATAAGGCTTGCACAAACAATATTCGGAAGCTTTTCAGTGATAGAGCGCCAAAAATAGATGTTCACATTTACCTAAAGCTTCTTTAAGGTCAGATGGGCCTTCGTTAAGACGTCAACTCTGGTAAAAAGATTATGTGTTTTTAGCAACATCTTCGCTTAGATCTTTTGCTTGTAACGGAAGGAAGGGCTTTTCTACCTTTTGCGGAAGAAGATGGCGATACGCAGAGATGAATCACATCAATGTCCCTGTCCATAAATCGCGAGGCTTACCGAGCGAATTTACTGGTGCGTTCTTTCGTGTTTTTAATTATAATCATAAAGAGACAATGTTTTTCTACCTGCTTGCTTGTGTTTTCCACATTTGTAAAACGGGTAAAGAGAACGAGAGGTACGTCGTCACTTTGACGTTAGGAAAACCATACCAGAAAAGATTACTGCGATAACCATAGGCTTACTCGAGTTACACGACCTTTGAAATATCCGACTGACACATCAAATAGCCAAAGACCCAGTTTAGAGAAGAGAGATGAGAGCGGAAACGCTGCCAGATGTCAATAATGGCAGCGTAAGGATATTTATGTCCTGGGAGACCGCATCTTGCGGTTTCGTTTGCAGTGAAGCCTAAGAGACTCCAGAGCCGAATGCTCCAGAACGGTAAAAAAAGAAGTGTGTCGTTGAAACAGACGTTACGTCCGCTCCAACGGTGGCACCGACACCAGTACCGGCAATATTTCTATAAGACATAAGAAATATTGCAAGGGCCACTTAATTCAATAAGAATAAATATATACGCGCTATGAGAGATATCGTTGAGTTAGACATTTTGTAGATTTGAATGAAAGATATCCACGAATGAAGTATTTGCAGATATTGCGGCTCGTTTCGTCCAAAGTACCGGATAGTTCGCGAATTAGGAAAGCCGATGCTATCATTTCAAGCATGCCGAGTTGTACATTGTAACTGTTATTATTCATTGAATGAAGAAATATTGGTACGCGTATGACTCACGTAAAATATTAGTCTTACTCGGCTCATTTACGTCTTCACTTGACACACTAGTATCAAATGCAGCATCAAGGCCGTCGTTTATCTGCGTTATACTTCATGACAGAGTGCGTAGTCTACCCAGATTGTTGTATGCCTTCGTCTATATGTACATGATTTGCTTGATTAATTCAGCTTGCTAGAGGCCGTTACACACGACTCGCTCTTCTTTCCGTTTCTGATGTCGAGGTGCTACATCACCTATTTTTCACAGTTACGGTAATACGCTATATAATTGTATAGGTAACATGTCGAGTAATCGGTATTTCAGTAAGACTTTTTTTTTCACGATTTGTTGTACATGGTCACGCTGGTTTCCAGGTCCTTCCACCCCCCAAGGGACTCGCATTGTGGACCCCTCAATGATCCACTGTGTCACAAGCGTCCGTCGAATATCCATATTTTATCTAAACCGTAACGCAAAACTTTCATAATCCCATTATCTGGTTGAACGACCAGCAGTTATATTGTCGCTCACGTATTTTTTTGGTAAAGGAATTTGCAGCATAAAAAGACACTTATTGTTTTTATACAATCCGTTTAAAATACCGAATTAAAATATTCAAAAATATAGCACTGAGAGCTCTTCAATCTTAGTAGTGCCTCAATCTAGCAAGTTAGAGCACATAGTGATTTTAATACGTTGCATAATTAGAGACACGCAGTCGTCGTAAGTGTTATGTGCTTTCTGAGGCAAGTTTGTTGCTTTATATTTAATCAATAAGTGGTTTTTTTTTTGTAATAGTCGAAAATGGTCGACAGCGTTCAATAGATGATAATAATAATAATTTAATAAAATGAGTCTAAATCTAACTTTCGGAATAGCTTTTTAATTGGTTTTAACGTAACAAAATTCAAATGATGACTTACATCTGTAATCAACCAATCTCAATATTCCTATAATATCTTCAATGAGGATGGGGCGTAGCAACTGACTAAACTGTTCAAAATAGCCCAGAAGTGTGAAACTGAGCGTTTTTGAAATAAATCCGTGATTGAAGGTGTTGAAAATCTGAACACGTTCCTTAACCAGCCCCGAAAGCTTTCGATTTATCTTGATTTTTGAAAAATTTATCTGTTCGACCAGACTGTCTTCGGTCTTTCCCTGATAAAGCATTCAACGAGGATATAATACACAAGTTATTCAACTTCTCCACATCTGTTTGGCGCGCTCCTATCAAGTTCTTGTTATGTATAGTCTACGCCTGACATCAAAGAAATTACCGGCAAACTTTTGCGTTGCACACATATGCATACATGTCCTAATGTTTTTTAATTCACTCTCTACGCCTTGCTTCTTATTTACCCTTATATTTCATCCCTACCATGATACAGTGTACATATTTTTGTATTATTTAAACTGTACGTTGCTATAGCTTCGTTTGTAACTAACTGAGCGATCTTAGCAATAGCCCCTGAGGACGAATTTTAAAGGACCATTGTCGTTTCTAAAAATTTGTTTTGGGCTGCTACTATATCTAATAAACCCTAATAAATCTAATCGATGGTCACAGCGCAGCTATCGCGCAATATAATTCCCTATAGTAGATAATTCCTGCAAAATCTACGGAAGTCAAAATCATCTTCTGAAGATGAATATCGTTTATCATGCGGACTTATGTTATACAAAGCTGGTAAGAGCCCAACACATCGACATATCACCAGTTCATAGACTGGATTCGTATATATACGCCAGACCTACTCAAAAAACAGGCTTGAGAGAAAGCTGCTAACGGAGAGATCCTAATGAGCCAGCATTTAAGCCGTCTTGCACTAAGACTGTTATTAGATTCCCGCTTGATAGCTAGACATGCGGCGTTTTCGTGGGCAGATACTCGCATCATTCCTCGGACTTAGTCTGCTCGTAGAACGTATGAAGCAACTTAATGCTTAATGATAACTTAACAATCAAGAATTTCGAAATCCTTGAAACTAACGCATCGTACTGCACGCCAAGTACGCGCACAAGCGAGTATTGTCCCTTGAAGCTAAACCTTGTACTTTAGCGCTATATAATGCACGTTTTTGTCATACTGACGCTTCCCTGAGCGATATCGTGGCTAACGTTCTCGCGCTGATGTTTATACTCATCCAGCCAGTGAAACCTGCCCTGCTAGCTCACGATAGCCTAACAATAATGGACTATTTTACTAGTATGGCAATGACATTGTTTTCGCTGTAGTTATCTATTTTGTCATTGTAAAATGGGACGAGGAGGAAAAGAAGAGGACGTTATCGTAAATAACCTAGACAAATCCCGCGTCTCTAACAGTTCACTAGCTTCTTCGCATCCACACCTCCGTATACCCTTATAGTTTCTTTTTTTTATTAGGCTGCTATGTACGAATCGAAATGGAATAACTTTTGAAATACTTGAATTAGAATGGTGATTTTCTACTATTTGCTAGAATCATACTTGTTTATTTTTTGCACGTTTTGTCCTAGTGACCTGCGAACGTTTCGACAACCGTAAATCTTCCATTGTGCATTTCTATCTGTGGCTTCTCGAACTAAATTATTGGAGGATATGCTTGTTAACTAGCTGTGTTTTTACGGGCGTGGAAAGCCGCGTAATCATACGGATTTAGATCGGAATAACAGGCACGTTGAAATCAAAGTTGGATACTTTCTTGCTCGATTTGGGAAGTAACTGAGGCGTCGCGGTGACGTCTGACGTTGCCATCAAGTAAGCAGACTGTGTGCCTTAGATTGCCATGTCAACGGTTCACAAGTCTCCTCGAGAACTTTAGGTAGATCGTCTCACAGTAGTTGGGGCCATTGACGATCGTTGCAATAACTATTACCACCCAATGTCCTAATCTGCCCGACAACTTCTCTCCGGAGTAAGGCCATTCTCTCCCCTTGCTCCTTTTCGATTGACAATAGAGATAAAACTTATGACGACCGTATGCCCCTGGTAGGCTTTGTCGATCAGAGTTTAGCAGATTGCGTTGAATATACCGCACGCGTTTCCCACTAGCCAATTCACGGAGACCCATTCCTTACCAACTGTTTGCATTTTTCGTATTCGAGTATTAACTCTGTAGCACGTTACATGTAAAATGCCAGTGTGGACTAACAGACCCCTTAGCTGCCAAGCTCTGCTTCTATTAGAACTGAGATGATTGGGTCAGTGAGTTCGTTCTCGTCTTTCGGGTCCCAGCATCTGATCACCTCGTTGCTTTTCGTTCTTACAGCATTTGTACCGTTTACGCACTATGCTTTCACTTCAGACCTTTTTGTCCAATGCCTTAGCTCAATTTTCGATAAATAGCCGAGGTGCTGTAGCCTACGAAAAATGAAAATTTGACTGCTGAACATTGATTTCCGAAACTAAAAGATGTTTTCCCCTTAAACCTATTTCCTACTGGAGTAA